GAAAACTTAGAAAAAATTGTTGAGAGAATTATTATAGATTATTTTGAAGACACTGAGTTAGCCACTGAATTGAAAAAGATTGGAAACTATGAAATCAAAGAACTCATATTTTTTCTCAAATAAAAGAAGGAGGTAATATTTGAGGCAAGCCTGCTAAGGATATAATTCTTAAAGATATTATAGGAAGCAAGATTGAACGAATTAAAGATTTAGAAGCAGAGGTAGAAGAGCTAAAAGAAAGAGTAAAAATAGAACAGGAACAAATTAAGGAAATTTTAGCAGTTGGTGAAAAGTGAAGTAAAGCTCAAGCAGAAGATTTTAAAGAAAAATCATTAATGCTACAAAAATCTGATAAAATGCTTGAAGAGGAGGTAGCAAAAAATATAAAACTACAAGAGGAGTCAGAAGAGAAATCGAAAATGTTAGCAAGAAGTGGAGAAAGAGAAGAAGAACTAAAAAGACAACTGTATTTAGAAAGAAAACCCTTGCCTGTTCTACCTAAAAAACGAAATACTTTACAAAAATTAGGCTCAAGAATTAAAACCAAACTCCAAAAACTTCAACAATTGGTAGAAAATAAAAAACATCAAGCCCGAGAATTTATTGCTCAAATAGAAGTAAAAGTTAACTAATTTACCTTATTTAATATGAGAGAATTGCTTTACACTATTTTAGAGTTAGAAGAATGACATAGCAGTAATTCTACTTGTGTTTTTTGTCCTAATTTAAAAAAAGCAGTTTGTCAAATCAGAACCCGAAGCAAAGCAACTAGCAAATTTGTTGAAAGTGATAAGGCTTGTGAAAGTTGTAAAGACAAGTTCGAAAATGATGAATTACCTAAATGTAGTTGTGGAAGGTTAAAGACTAGATACATTTGTGATTGTAAAGAAAAGGGCAATGAAAAAGAACTTCCTCTTTTACCTAATCAAAATGGAGGAATGGCACTTTTCTATGAAAAATAAATAAACTCTCTGCAAGAACAACTGACTGAAACCGAGGAAGCATTGGAAATTGAAAGGGAAGAAGTGGTTAAGTTTCAAGAAAAATCTGAGGAGTGAGGCAAATCAAAAAATATAAAACTACAAGAGGAGTCAGAAGAGAAATCGAAAATGTTAGCAAGAAGTGGAGAAAGAGAAGAAGAACTAAATAGACAACTGTATTTAGAAAGAAAACCCTACCTGTTCTACCTAAAAAACGAAATACACTCACTGGTCATAAATATAAGGACACTTGCAGATCATCAGAAATGATTGAACAAAGAAACATGAAAAAAAATA